ATGACAAAACCTTCAGCTTCAAATATCAGTGTTTGATTGATAAATTACACTCCAACCCCTTTGCATTAAAGTATTTAATAGGAAACCTGCGTAAATTTATCTGTACATAGCAATGTCTTCTGCAGCTATGGGTCCTTTCATTTACACACCCTCTTATTAGGTAAACATTAAGTTAATGTCAGCACATGATGAATTATTGTGGCAGCAGCTACACTTCTTTGGGAAACTTGTAATCAGTGGTGTTATTGTTTGTTAGTTAATGCTGAGGCAAAAAAAGCACAGCACATAAAACATGACATTATTGGTGGTTATGATCAGGTAGCAGTCTCACTGTTGTTCTGCAAGTCCCTAGCGACCCCTTGTGGCAGGTCATCTTTTTTTTTTTTGGCACAAGTGACACTGGTTTTGCTACCATCTAGTGGTTTTTGGGGTTTGATGTCTTTCTGTTTAAAAAGAATTATGAAGGGACCTAAAACCACAGAGGTGTCTTTTGAAATCAGAAGCTCCTGATATTATTTTACTTATTCTATTAATCGCTTTTGATTTTGTTAATGCTATTAGATGTAAACACCCTGTAGTTAAAACACCAATAACCCAGAGACAGATCTCCCCAAAGGTAAATAAATACTCACTGCTATGTATCCATGCTGCCTTTAAATACACATGCCTTGTAGTTTTCTTTAATACTACCATGGTTTGCCACTGAGGCTGATTGAAGCCCTCTCACCCTCTCTTATTTCCATTCCTCTGTTGGCATTCAGAAGATCCACCAATGATATTTGCTGCGGGAGAGCCACAACTATGTAACCAAGCCTTCTCTCCCTTCTCATGCTGACTTTGACACCCTTTGTGGCATTTTCAGGATAAAGCTCCTCCTAAATTTTCCCTCCCGGCAACAGCGCTCTAGTAATAGTGAGTCTAGTAAACTGTTACACAGTGGCTATACCTGAATTAGATGTCACTGAAAAAGAAAGACATTTTTTTCATGACATTCATTAGAAATAAAACATTGATATGATATTTAAGTAACCTCTGGTGATGTCGATAAAGAATGATAAAAATGTAGGAGCTTGCTTTTAAAGTCTTATGGCTATACACTACTTTCAGTCTAAAAAAAAAAACATAATTTCAGGTCTAACTGTTTTTTCAAGACCACAAAATGGGTCTTCCCATAATGTATCAAAAATAATCCTATATCTGAACAAGTGCATTTTAATGACTTAGAAAATCATCAAAAATGTACAGAAAATAAAACTTAGATTCATTTTAGAATAGCTGCATATCTGTGTTGAAGCTATGGTCTGACTCCAGCTGAGGGGCACACCTTGTAGTTCATCCTCAATTTTTTTATTAGGATTTTCTTCAAAACCCTTAAAGGCTACATTTGGTAATGCACTTTTTTAAAAATCGTACTAATTCCATTGACTTCTTTCCATAATGATGCTGTCTGAAGGATCAGCATTCTTACCTATAGGTGTTAAAATTCTAAGGTAATGTTTCACTGCTTTTTCTCTTGTCTGTGCATATCATAACCATTAATATTCAGGAATTTTATAGCATGTACAAATATCTTATAAGATCAATTTTGCAATCAGAGTTAACCAAAAGGGTTTAGCAGACAAATTAAAGAATATATAAGCTGTTATTATTTCAACAAACAATTATTACACTCAGATTTATGCCTTAACTTGTCTTTGTTTGCACAATTCTTATATAAAAAAAAAACATGTCTGTCAGGGTTTTTATTGAATAATAAAACAAAAAGCAAGCACAAAACATTGTTTTCAGAAGCAAAGAGAGAACCAGAGATCAAAGTGAAAAAAACTCTGGGGACTCTTGTCAAACTTCAGGCCAGAGAGGTTGGATTTCATATCTGCAGCACAAACATTTCAATCCCCCAAAGTTTCCTAGGGAAAGTGTATCTAGAGCCAGAGAGCAGTGAGAAGTGTGAGTGGAGACATAAGCAGAGGTGGCTGGACAGTAACCAGACCGCACATGTCGCCCCTGCGCTCCCCAGGACATTGTGTTCTCTGCCAGGGAGGTGCTGCTCCATTTTTAACAGCTGGCCTTGTGTCGTTGCCAAACAAATGCCCTGACGTGGGTCATGAAAATCTCAGTATTACAAATATGATTAAAAATAAAATATGTTGATGCTAAACTGAAACTGTAGCATATCCTCCATTACTGCCTCCCTTTACTGAGGGTTAAAGGGTATTTTTTGGAAGAAACATGCTTCGATAGGCTTAATTAATCTTGTATTAATATGTAATTCATTGTTAACAAAAAAGTAAGACAAAAAATAAACAGTAGGCATTCCTTCACCAAAATTGGAAAATAACTCTGCAGCATAGTACACAACCGTGGATTTCATTAACAGATGAAAATGCAAATTTCACTTTTTATTTCCTGGTAGGTATTTTAATTATCATTTTATGCATATAATTTTTTTGTGTATCACAAACAAAATAATTGACCAATTATTTGGTCAGATTCTATGTCTAGAGCAGTGTTTACATAGTTGAATGTAGCAATGTACTCTACAAAAGGAAAAAAAACTAACAGAGAAGAATATAAATAAATATTTACACAAAAAAATGCTTAATAGAAAAAAGAATAGGTATGAGACAACCAAAGTAAAATGTCACCAAAATGTAAATTTCAACCAAAAGTACTTTAAATGATTCAGCATCAAAGTCCCTGCAGCTTAAGACAATTAAAGATAACACATAAAGTTACATTAATTTCATAATCAATTAAATAGTAAAACAAAGAGCCATTTAAAAGAATATACATTCTCTTGAAATTGCAATGGAAAATAAACAAATACAAGTAATCTAGAATATGATAAACAGATTACACAAATGAAATGGAATGGAATTAAAAACAAAAGTTTAACAATTTCCCTGGCCACAATAGGAAAGAGATCCTCTGAAATGTTAAAGGATTGCCAATAATTTACTCCTTAGTTCTTAGGTTGCATTTTTAGTTGCCGTTTAAATACCATTTAGTCTATTCTTGTTTTTATAGTTTCATAACATGTTTTCATAGTTCTGTAACTAAACCAGAAGAAAAGAGAAATTTATGTATTCTGGAATTAATCATAAAAGTTTTAACTAAACATGATCATCTGATGATATAGAAACCAAAGTTTATTTACTTTTTTGATGGTAAGGCTTTGGCAGCAATAATGATGGTTTGGCTTCTCTTTCATTGTAGTGATTAAAGTATCATGTTTGCTTTCTACCATAAACTACAGAAATTAAAAGTTGTGTTTATATTGCCTTCAAATTTTGACTATATTAAGAGTCTCCTTTCTTTATCTGTATAATTCAATTACATTATATGAACTCATACTAGTAATGTGATGCATTGCTCACTGAAATACATCTTTTTAAAATACTGTTTTAATGCTTTAAAGCTTTCTCTCAGAAAGGGGGATGGAACAAAAAAACGTTTTTTCGGACCAAAAGTTTCTGTCTCTTACTAAAAAACAGGGGGAATTACCTATGCCTTCTGTCATCTGCTGGCATCTAAAGACAGGTGTGAGTGTGTCTCTCCCTGAGTGATTGATGAGTAGTTTCTGTTCCACTTGTCTCTTCTGCGTCACTGGAACATGTTCACTCTCATGTGGCCATGTTCCACGAGAGAGCAGTTTTGAATGTATAAAAACAAAAAAACCCACTGGTGTGTGATGATTTTCTAACTATCACAACATCCTAATTTGTTTCTTGAAGACACAAGAAACTATTATAGTGCCACCTTGTGGCAAATCTGAATCTGGATAGAGTCTCCTTCCTTTCCTCCTCGGCTTACCCCTCTTCATTTCTTGTAGTGCTCAAGAGCCAAGAATCGGGTGTGAGCAACTGGCATGAAAATGGTTTGGGTCATCTCATCCTAGTTTACAGTCTGTGCTTGTGTTGTCTATTTCATTCTGTTTCCCATGAGTTTTTGGGGACTTAATGAGAAAGGGGAGTTCTCAAGAAATAATTGCATATAACTGTTTATGCGGGTTAAATTAATGTGGTTTGAATAAATCATATGCATATTTTGAGCAATATGGAATATGAATCATGATTTTGTTATACAAGGTGAGTTTAAATTGATCTCTAACAGTTATCATCAGAGGATGTTTTTGTCCAAGAGTAAGTACAGCATAAATTATTTGTGTCACCCTACTCTTCTTTCAGCCTGACAGCTAAATGTCCTACAGTAGGTCAGGCTTCTTCTTCTTTCCCTTGACAGTCAGTAGATGTTACATGCAATCCAGAGATATAGAGGGAGCATGGATTGCAACATTACTCACGCTCTTATTTTGGAGAAAATCCCTGCGGCAAATATATCATAGCTTTTCAGATCTAATATTACTGGAAACTGATATGTTTGCAGAAAATCCATCTATCTGTAGTTCAATTAAAGTCGAGCTAATCTCTTTACATTTTCTTACTTGTTCGGCACAACAAGTAAAGTGTACGATGATCATTTTGACACCTACAAAGAGAGTGCGTCGAGGTGGGCTTAGCACTTAAAGCCTCTCAAATATCTCATAACTAAATGACTGCCAAGCCCCCTCCCTAAACACTTAAAGCCTGCTGACGTCGGCCAGCCATTTGCATTTAGGTCCCCCGGCTCACTCCTAATATCATATGAGGAGGAGAAGACCAGAGGGTTGACTTCATAATAGTTTAGATAGCTTGACATGTCTTATAGTTTTACAGATTAAAGGTATGTTTTGATGTGTTGATTTCTTCCTGGAATATTTTTGGGATTTCTTCTCTAGTTTTCTTTTCTTTTGTCGTAGAACTGGCAGCAATTTTGCTGAAAGCATTTTTGCCTGTTTCACGGACCTTACTTACTTACTGGTTGTACCAAATCGATGTGTTGAGGTGACTTTAGTATCACAGGAAGCTATGAGTTCCTTGGTCATAGAAGCAGTGGGAGAGTCCAGTAATGCAGGTTTTGACATCATCCAAAACCGCATTGAATCCCTGAGTGGCAAGATGGACAAACTAATCCACATACAAGAAAAGGTTCTCAGTCGACTGGACGGGATGTCTCAAGAGATTGATGATATTGAGCAGGATATGGAGCAAATCAAGGTTGATAAGGAGGAGATCCATCTGTCCCCGAAGGTGATGAACCAGACTCAGGTGATGGGGCGGGAAGTCCATGAGATCTGCCAAGAGATGAGTACTATCATGTCGGTAGTCAACCAGAGGTCCGAGCAGCAGGCTCAGAAGTTGGAGGGGATGGAGAAGCTGGTCCTTAGCATGCAGCAGGTGATCAGCTTCATTGGTGAGACAGTGAAGTGCTCAAAGGTGATGCAGATGATGTTCAAGGGCCCAGCAACTCGGAAGGTTTCCAGGCACAAAGACAGTAAAGGAAAGCAAGCAACTAAAAGGAAAGCATCCCCAGAGACAGTAACCAAGAAGCCTGACAAGGTGGGAATAACAAAAAAATTATTATTATTATTATTTGCTTTTTACGTAGGTCATTACTGTGCATCGTCAAATTCTTATTGATTTGATCAGAACTGAATTTGGGCTGTTATAGTTTAACCATTGGAGTAAGGCTATGATATTATATTATCTTGAGGGGTGCCATTTACTCATTTGTGATTTTTGTAATTTTTTTTAAGCATATTGCATACAGATCTTTGTAGGGTCTGTTTTCTCTTGGCAGAGCAAGTGAATCAATCTCACTAAAGCTGACCAGCTGTGTGGTTGCTCATTAATGGCTTGGCTTTTGTGATTATTTTGCTATATGTTAAATTAGTGTGAACAGCTCTATGCTTTTGCATGTAATAACATCTGAGATAAATTTGAAGCTTAAATAAATACATATCTTATTTAGCAAGAAAAAAACTGCTACTGTGAATTGAATATGATACATATATAAAGTCCACATTTAACTCACATTTATTGCGGCTGGCTCCTTTCCTGTTCTATGTGGCCCCGTTTGCATGAGGCACAGAGGGGTACAGCCTGGCAGCACAATTTAAGGCCCATAGAGTGAAATACGAGTGGCCTGGTTTGCAATTTTTTATTGGAACTGTGGTGTTTTTTTACCCCACTCTGCTTACCATATGTCAACAATTCATGATGAGTCGAATCCCACGGCTTCTCCCTTTTGGTTTCCCTTTCTGTCACTCACTCAAATTTCTTTGTACATGTTGTGCTTGCACTGCTAGTCTTAACACTCGATAGTGTCCTACCTAAAGCATCAAATAGCTACAACAGAGTATAAAGTAGTTATAAAAGTTCCTGGCAGTCCCTGTATGGGGGAATCTGTTGACTAGACATGTATAAGTCTTGCACACCAACCTTTATAAAACATGGAAAAAAGAATCTCATGGTATAAAAACAAAACAGTTAAAAGTCAGACATGTGGACGAAAGTGCTCTGGTCAAATGAAACCAGAATAAAAATTTTCAAACATGCAAACAACATGCATTGTGTGGCAAATAACCAATGCTGACCTGAACCTGAGCAACCCGTCATCGTAAAAACAGTGGTGTAAACATATTGCTTTGGGGACAAGTGAGCTGATCAGAGTTGACTGAAGGATGCTGAAAAGCTGCAAAAGACTTCAGGCTGTGGTGGAGGTTCATCTACCAACTGGAATAATACCCAAAACATACTGCCATAGCTGCAATATGCTGTATAGATCAAAGCATAATAATCATGTGTTAAAGGCTAGTCAAACTACAACAAAGATCAAAAAATCATTGGCAAAATTTAAAAATCTAAATTACAATCTGACTGAGACTGATACTCTTTATTTTACAAACCAGTCAGTGCAAACTTTGGTTTTTTGGGTCATGAAGCTGGTAAAGATTTTTTTTAGCAACATTTGTAAGTAAAACATAAAGGTCAGTGCCGTGCTTCTGAAGCATTTTGGAGTCAAGGTCCACAGATAAGACCCAAATTCTGGCATCAATAACAAATGATGTTTTGATATCTTATCACTAAAGGTCCTTAGGTTTCAGAAAATTAAAAGAAACAGAAACAAATATATAAATAAATAAATGATTAAATAAATTCCCATCCAGAGCTGACTCCAGTTTGCTATCTTTATTATCTATAATTAGGTGAACAGTGATGACTCTATTAAAAGGTCACTAGGTGCTGCCTGGCAGCACCAGAGTTACAAACATTTCCACACTGCTATCGCTGCCATAGCTTCAAAGGTTTTTTTCTTTCTGTTAACTAAGACAGACAAGCAAAGCAGGAAATGGATCACACAAGAGTAAAAATAATTTTTTTATTTATGTATTTTGCTTAACATTTGCATCTGCTAACTAATCGAAATACTGCTCATGTTTCAATGGATTTCCATTGTTGGCAGTGCGCAGATGGTCTTTCTGTCCTGTCCTACTTCCAGAGGTGTGAAATATTCTATATTTATTTCCTGAAACTTTGCTCCCGCACTCACTCCATTATTTTCCAGTCACGTTTCTTTACCCCACAACTGATTCTTGGAAATTGTAAATGCTAGAAACATGTTTCTAATATTTACCGCTCTCTTTTTATTTCAAACCATTGAAAAACAGGTGGGAAACCTCAAGTGAAAGATGTTTTTTTTCCATCCTAACCACAGTTTTTAGTATCATCAATTCAGCTGGGAGATTCGAAGAACAACCTGCAGTTGCTTATAATATTTTCCACAGGGGGTCAGCATCACATTCCACTGCTGAGTGTGACAAGTGATAAGCTATAAATTCACTGTCCTGCTGCTGCCTATCCATCAGCCATGAATAAGCAGAGGCTTGTCATTACATAAGCCAGTTTCTTAATGCTGACGTCCAAAAACTGTGGCTGCTATAGTCAGGATCTGTCCTCTATTTCCTTTATGTCATTCATTGAAAGTTTAATTTAGCATTTCTCTGAACAATAAACCTTCATTTGATCCTTCATTTGCTAAACTACAGGCTCAACTTTATATTTTGTTTTTATTATTTACTGATACAGTTACTGTTTTAGTTTTTGGATTCTACAGATATCTAAGATATTTTAGTATTAGTATTAAAATAGTTGTATTTTTAAAGCTTTTTGTCATGTTTTAGATCATCAATTCCATTAGAACACAGAATAGTCATGTCCCAAGTAAATACTAATTGGAGTTTTAAAATTATACCTTTTATTAATAGAAAAAAAGCTACAGTGATTAAATTGGGCCTATGTTAAAATTTGTGAGAATTTGCATATTTGAGTGTCTTTTACATTACTGTAGAGGAATTTTGGCCCACTCTTCCTTACAGAATTACATTTATTCAGGCACAATAGATAATCTTTCTCTAGCATTATGAGTCTGTAAAATGCATGTCACAGCATCTTATTTCTGATTCAAGTCTTAACTGACATAATGCCAATCATAAACCCTCATTTTGTTTATTATGTCATTAAGAAGTGGACTTTCTAATGTGCTTTGTATCATTGTCCTGCTGCATAACTGAAGAATTAAAGGTATAGTGGAGGATGTTCCAGGTGGATCATCAAAATAAGTGGTTCTCCTGATTGTCAGTCATTCTGGTTATATATATTTACGTAAGGTCGTCCTACGTGCTCGTCCACATTTTCACTTACCGGTGGTGAGTCTGACAGTGAAAAACATGCAAATCTTCTTTTGGAAAGTAAGCTTGTAGGAACGATGCAAACAGCAGCATTTAAACAGAACGTGCATGAGGAGAAATGGGCTTGTGCATGCTCTTGCAGGTTTTTTTTCCACTAGTGGCTCGTTTTGTTCAACATTAGGCCAACAGGAAAGGGGGTATGAGAGAGGAGGAGAGACATGTGGCAAAGGACCAAAGGTTGGATTCGAAACCTGGTCGGCTGCGTCAAGGACGAAGGCCGCATGGGTCGTGCGCGCTAACCATTGCGCCACCTGCATGCCCTTGCACATATGTAATAGGCGTTCCCTCTTGGGAGTGGCTACAGGGTTGTGCATGAGCATTTTGAAAAGTTTAAAAAATTTGCGAAAATCCTCTGCTATACCTTTAAGTTTAAAAATTAAAACCTAATGGCAAGGACATTTTCCTTTAAGAACTCTGGCACTAAGCAGAATTCAGCAGCCCCAAATCATTACAATATTCCTAACACCATGTCTGTTAATACTGGTCTATTTTTTGAAGTATTGTTAGTTTTAAGACAGATGTGACAAGGTACACATTTTCCAAAAAGTCATGCTTTTTCTCTTTAGCCATGGAATATTTTTTTCCAAATGTCTCAGTGATCATGTGACAAAGTCAGGGGAGGTTCTAGACGAGGGCCAACTAGTCCTGGTCCCTGTTACGACCCCTTTACTATAGACATGATACTTAATCATTTTCTTATGGTGATACTGTATGTGCTGGCACAAAAACTACAACTATTTGGTCCTTTGGATCCATTTCACTTTTTTACTTTATAATTTCACTTTTGAAATGATTTAAAAATGAAGGTATTGCAACTTTACTTATTGCAGCTTATTGAGTTTAGATCACATCATTCATCAGCTAAATAAAGGGTCTGAAACTTGCATTTCCCGGGCCATAAGTGGTTTTTGATTCAATTAATATGTAAAATAATAAACTGCATGTTTTTTTTTATTTTATTACATTAATTTTGTGCACCCATAAAGAAACACTAGCCCCATTCTTGCCCTCCTAGTAAATTTAGGCTAGCACTGCATGCGGAAAAGGCTTACTTTAACAAATAAAAGCGCTCCTTTGGGTACTCATCGATTTTGCCAACTCTTGTTCTTATTGTTTGGCCATTAAATAAAGCTAAGGCCTGCATTGCTTTAGAGGTTGTTCTCTTGTGATGCGCTGGTTAAGTCACCGATGTATTTTTTAAGTAATTCAGTGAGCCAATCACTCCTGTAAAAGGTGTTCGCCTCTTCTGTATTTTCTCTATTTATGGATTGAGGCTCCCACTTTAGTTTGCTTGAGTCTATATATATATATATATATATATATATATATATATATATATATATATATATATATATATATATATATATATATATGTATGTATAGCAATGTAGCTACTTTTATATGTGCTTTTCCTCTTTCTATTCATAAATAATAAATGCACCCCTCCTGTGTACACTGATATAACCCTACCAAGGACTTCCATCTTGTCTCTTTACTAGAAAACTACCTCTAACAAAGCCAATAAAGGGAAACAAAAGATAAATCCTGCATGTCAGCCCAGTTCTCTGCGGTACTATCACAGGATAAAGCCCCGCGGACCAAAGCATGTCCTTGCATCACGTAAATGTGGAAACCTTGTAGGTTTTTTTGTGCTTACAAATTTTTACATTGTGGCTACAAATAGACATGTGCCCTATTCTTGATGTTATGAAGATTGTAACCAAAATATCTGCATATTTTTGTTTGGACATTTAAAAAAAGAAATACAGCCAAAAATATTTTTGTAAGATTGAGAAAATAGTATTTGTTAGGGTAGAATTTGCTGAATTTTTAAAACACAAACACACCAAAAATGGAGTGAGAAACATCATAATGACAAACATTATTATTGATAATGTGCAGATATTGTCGGGGTTACAGAACTTACTATTTTATTTTTTGTTTTTGCAGGTAAAAGATCAAAAAGTCAAAGATGGGGCAGAGAAGCCATGTCTGAGCCAAAAGGGTCTGAAAGCTCAAAAGAAGATGAAGCCTCCAGATGCAGCAGGTGCTGAGATTTTTTATTATTGTAGTGGCTCTTCTTTGGTAGTTAGCATTTCTATAGACAACAATGATATTAATTTACTTGTGACTAAATATATATTTTTTAAACTAACAATCTGCTGAAATATAAACAATTTAATTAAGTTTATTTATATAGCGCTGATGCACAACATATGTCATCTCAAGGCACTTTATAGTAGTTGTATCAAATGCAGCACTGAGATCTAACAGGACAAGTACAAATACAAGTCCATTATCTCAGGCCATGAGAATATCGTTAGTGACTTTCACCAGAGCTGTTTCAGTTCTATGATGAGCTCTAAAGCCAGACTGAAACTCTTCAAAATGTTCATTATTTTGTAAGTGATCGCACACTTGTTTGGCAACTACTTTCTGAAAAAATTTAGATGAGAAACGAAGATTGGATATAAGTCTACGTATAATCGACCAAGTCATCTGGGTCAAGAGGTGGTTTCTTTCTTTTCAAAGTTAGAATAAGGAATTACCTTATCTGAGGGAGCAAACATGGAGAATACTGTGTTAATTTCTAACAGAGCTGCAAAAGTGAACTTCAAACGTGAACTCCAGAATAATTTTGTTTTTGTGCTAAGATTATAAAACTCAATTTTTATATTAACTATTCTCACTCACAAAGTGTGACTTTGATCGCACTGATAAATATAAATAATTAATTAATGGTTGTCCATAGCAGTATAGTAATATCTATATATTCAAAAAGTTATAGTTATAGTTGCTATAGTTCTATAGAGTAAGGTCATAGCATTACAGAAAAATAAATAAATCAGAAGCCCTCTACAAAAGTTTGATGTGTATAGCTCTGATTAAAATTATTGCTTACTTTTCTATGTATATAGGAGACGTTTAAATCATCTTGAGTCAACAAGAGAAATAATTTGAAGTCAGTATTTTTTATGTTTTTGTAGATAGTATTTCACCAAAGAAGCAGGCTTTGCTTCTTGAAGAAGTGCAGAAACTAAATAAAGAAAACACAGAAAAGTCTAGTTCCCTGTTCCCACCACTGGATCTGGAGGCTGGAGGAACTGTTAAAGATGAAAAACCAGAGCTTCCCTCTTGCAATCTGGTGGACTATGTGCATGAAGAAAACCAAGCTGCTGTGGCTGAGGAGCCTGAAGTTATACAGGCAACTGAGGAGCAAAAAGACGAGGAGCAGAAAGATGACAACGAGGTTGAGGATAAAGCTCAGGATAAAGCTGTATTAACAGAGATCGCTTTGGAGAAATCAGTCGAAAATAAAGCAGTAGAAGTAGAAGAACCTGCAGTTCCAGAGGAACCACTGAAAGAGGATATTACTGCTGCTGAGGCTGAAGTAGATTTACAAATCCTAGAGGAGCCAGCTTCCTATGAAAATAAAAAAGAAGACATTGCCACCAGGTAAGATTATCTATAACTTACTACTTCTTTAGTAGTTAGGAAGTTACACATTACACTATTACCAAAATGGGATATAGGATTTAATTAATTTCCTGCAAAAATTAGATTTTTTTTTTGTAAAAATCACATTGGATAAAACATAAATGCACACTTTGCTTCTCTAACAAAATATTTATCAAAAATGTATTTGATATAAATGCAAATATGAATTTATTTCAAAGAGAGATTTGTTTTGTTTGTTTTCAATATATTTAATTTGCAAATAACCTTGACCTTCCATCCATACTGATGTTGAATTTATTCCATAACTTCATTCAAGCGTATGCTGTAAAGGCCATACAAAGAAACAACTTCATATTGGGTCGTTTCATTTCTTTTTGCTTTTTGTTTTCAAAAACACTATCCAAATTGTAGTACATTAAGCTAAAGAACATTTAATTTTAAAACAAAACAAACCCTGTAATCTTTAATCCACAGTGATGACCACAAAGACATAACATCATGTGTAGAAACCGAGCAGGACCAGCTAACTGTGGCACAAGAGGAAAACAAAGATGAAAAAGAAGAGCAAAATAAAGAGGACGAGGAGGATGAACAGAGGTGTGAAGACTGGGCTATCTTCAAGGCAGATGGGGTTGCAATCCAGCTGAACCTTAAAGAAAAGCTGGAGAGGGAAAGAAAGGAGCATGTCGATGAAAATAAAATTGAAGATGATCAAGCTGAACGCTTCTTCATCGGTGAGTCACATTCTTCCAAGCTAAAGCAGAATATTCTCAGTGACAGCTCATGCTAATGTCAACTAATGCAATAAAAAAAAAAAAAAAAATGCTTTCTTGTCACTACATTTCACTTTTATTAGTGATCAGTTTATTGTAAAGTTATCATAGTGAGGATCGGATAATTAAAACAAGACATCCAAAGACTGATCTGACAGTTGACAGTATGTATAGACATATACAGTAGCTGCTGGGTTTCCCTTATGGCCAGAGTAAGACTACAAGAAAGGCTTTTTTAACATTTAAAATAGTATATCTAAAGACTTTTGGGGATATACTCAACTCTTCTCTATTAATGTTTTAATTTTGGCTTAATCTTTGTTAACTAAATAGATTCATGGTTAAAATATTTAAATCCTTTTAGAACAAAATAGGAATTATTTATTCTTCTCCTTACAGTTACTTTACATTATCATCTGGTATGGCAAACTACTGAACTTGCAAAGTAAATCTGAGCTCTGTAACCCACACCAAAGCAAGGAGGACCTTGCCATGCTGAAAGTCATCTTCCCCCTTTTTTTCAATAATGGAAATAGTAAATATGTCAAAAACAAAATGTTATAAAAATTGATTCACCTGTTTCAGAGTCAAAAAAATGACCAAGAATGTAGGGTTGGGTTATGATTAAAACAAGGTATCTCAGCACAAAAAAGACATGCCTTACATTAAGCTGAATAATGCAAAAAAAGAAAAAAGAAAATAGAAATGATGAGGAGCATTTATGATTTCTATTCTCTGACATAAATATAAACTGAAATTTACCATCAGAAGCTTTATGACAGAAGTAGATCACAATCTGATTCAGACACAATAGTACTTAAATTATTCAGTCATCAGGCTGAACATTTTTTGCACTTATTTGTCTGTCAGGATATGTTTCTATATTCAAGAAATTTTTTCATTTAATAATTCGCAAATTGGGAGTAAAATATTTCAAAATAAATAAAAAACACAGATTAAGGATAAATCACACCCAAACAAAATAAACAATTCAAATCAATTAATTTTATTTATATACTGCCAATTCACAACACATGTCATCTTAAGGCACTTTAGAGACAAATCAAACAAAGATACTTAAACATGCATCCCTATTAGTTCTAGAAACAAATATTACTGAAAGACGAGTTCAACAAGTGCCTGGAATTATCATGTTACTAAAACATATGTAGTCCATAAAGTAACAGATGATATAATGATATAAGAGCTTCTTATCTTGTATTTATCTTATTGTTATTTTTTTCCCCAAAATATCCAGGCAAGCTTTATCTGGATTCTACATTTGATGCCTAACTAAATAAAGATCAGAGAACAGCAGGGTCTTAAAATTCAGACTTGAACTTAAAGTGACTGTTTTCATGACCTCTGACCTTCATGGGCACCAGAAGGACCATATGAACTGACCCTTAACCCATTTCATTGCAGACAACAACTGCATCTGTAATGGATATTTGCAACAACACCTTGTACATGATATGTCAATTTAACTATGGTTGTATGTACGCTTTAAAAGGCCAACAGTAGCTGATTATTAGCAATACATGCATGTTAACATGTTATTTATAACATAAATATCCTTTTGCTTGCCCACTGATCCTCCTTAAGACACCACCCCACCCCCGACAGCTCCTTTCAATCATCGAATTGTGTCTGCTAAGCCGAACCAGATCAGAAACTTTTACACGATCAACTGGCAAGAAGTCCTGGGCGGGTGAGTGCACTCCTCCCTCCTCCTTCATTTTTATAAAAAAATTATAAAAAAATACTCCATACTGATTGGAATCCATAGAGAACAGATTCTTAGTTAACGTTAGCACCATCTGTGTGTAATTCTCCCCCGTTCTTTTCCTTTCCTCAATGGTTCATAACTCCAGAGTCACAGCAGTTATTTTTACATAAAGACTGGTTGGTATGTGAAACTGGATCCTCACTGCCAGTTGGTGGCTAATCACTAAGTGCTAATCCGAGTCTTCAAAGGAGAAATGCGGGCAGGCTCAGATTGAATAAAATAACAGATCAGCTACAGGACTTTCCAGAAGAAAAGATGAGCTTTTGATTTCTTATGGGAAAGATACACTACACTATTGCTCACATGATTAAATGATACCTTACTGCTCTGATGTATATTTTTTCAGTGAGAGTAAGTGACTGTCTGTGCAACAACTTATTGTTCTCTCTCCTGTTCTCCTGTTCTTCCATAGGGGGCGGTTCGGTCAGGTGCACAAATGTGTGGAGAACTCCTCAGGTCTCACTTTGGCAGCAAAGGTCATTAAGGCTCGAAGCCAGAAAGAAAAGGTACGACACCTGAGACACCTTGCAATGACGCTGAACCAGGCTATTTTTACTCTTACCATGAGAACTGAACCCCATGTAATATACAAAGACGGGGAGCCTGTTAGAGTTTTTTAGTGCTTACTAGAATGATGTTAGGCCACTCCTGGAACCAAGGCAAAGGGAATAGTTCTCACCTAGGTGAGAAATAGCTGACCTAAACCAGTGGATGCATAGTCTCCGACCGCAGAGTGCAGCTGACACCTCTCATTTTGTGTGTATGTGTATCTGTCTTTCTCCTGCATCTGCGTCTTCCTTTCTCCATCGATATCTCTCTGTGCCTTTGTTTTTGGTAGGAGGTGGTGAAGAATGAGATCCAGGTCATGAACAATCTTGACCATGCCAACCTGATTCAGCTTTACGCAGCTTATGAATCAAGAAATGACATCATCCTTGTACTTGAATAGTAAGACATTTTTTAATCCCATTACATTTGTTTAACATATACTGTATATATATATTGTTCTTGTTTTTTAACAGTAGGTTGAATAGATTTTTTTTAATGCTTGCAGTTTTTGTTCTAGGCTTATGTGTAATTAGATTTTGCATTTTTCTTTATCAATAGTGTTGGTGGTGGGGAATTGTTTGACAGGATTATTGATGAAAACTACACTTTAATGGAGCTGGATGCTGTGGTGTTCATCAGACAGATATGTGATGGCCTTCAGTATATGCACAAAATGTCAGTACTGCATCTAGACTTAAAGGTAACAAGGATAAACACACAATGAGTCCTAATACTGACCTGTTTGAATATTGATAGCAGAATATCTTAAAAATATTAAATTCTAGTTTTGAAGCGATCAAAGTTCGAGCATATAAAATTAAGTTAAAATATACTGTGCTCTACAGAAATAATCACTTGTGGCTATAAATGAGAATATGCATTGTCCATTAGCATGACACTAAAATGAGAGAAACTGGTTTCTTTCCAAGGTCCTGGAGTTTATATAATGCTGTTTACAATTTACATTTTAAAGACATAGGAACACTGAACCAAGGATGAAAAGCGAAACAGTATCAGTCATTCTGTCATTTTTAGAGGCTTTGTGAAAATAATCAATTTCAGTTTATAGTCAAAAATACAGTACAATGATTTAAAGTATAATAGATCATCATTAAATTTAAATTTTTTTCCCTGGCTTTATTTAACTTGTTTACCATGTAGAAACATTTATTTTGTCAAAATAAGTTTGTTGACAAGAGTCAGACTAGCTCATAACTCCACAACTCCTATTACTGACAAAGTTACTAAATTAGATTAGTATCAGAAACTTTATTTGTTTCAAATTAGTAATTTATTTCAGTCACAATACATCATGATCTATTACATGTATTTTTCAGCTATCAGTTAGGTAAAGCATGGCATTTATAATTAGAATAATACATCTATAAATCTTTTTTTATTATTATTACAACTATTGTTATATAATGGTATTATTAATATTATTGGGTTAATGAGAATAATTAAATGTCCCTTTTTAATGTTTTTGATCTTTCCAGCCAGAAAACATTTTGTGTGTGAGCAGAGTGACCAATAAGGTTAAGATAATTGATTTTGGCCTCGCAAGAATGTAAGTTTTGCTTTTTTCTTTCTTATCTGTGTATTGTTTCACTGTGATTTTTGAAAATGGAAAATGTCCCGTGCTTGAACAACAACCCTGTCCTGTTTTAGATATAAACCACGGGAGAAATTAAAGGTGAATTTTGGAACGCCAGAGTTTCTAGCCCCTGAAGTAATCAACTATGACTTTGTGTCGTTCAACACTGACATGTGGAGCCTTGGTGTCATCACCTACATGCTGTAAGTAAAGCCACAAAATAATGCAAAATTTTGCTCTGATCACCCCTAAAATTATTTCTCTTTTAATGCTAGCCTGAGCGGTCTCTGTCCATTCCTTGGCGACGATAACAATCAGACTCTAAACAACATTTTGGCTTGTCAGTGGAACTTTGAGGAGCAGGAGTTTTCAGACACATCAGCAGAAGCCAAAGACTTTATTACTAGACTTCTTGTTACCAATAAAACGTAAGAACCTTCAGACTCTCTATTATCTTAGCTTTTTCTAAATCTAAAGAGGGTTTAAAATGTGCTTTTTTTTGTTTTATGTTCTCATCAGTTGGAGGATGGGAGCCTCTGAGGCATTAAGGCATCCTTGGCTGTCCGACCCTGTTCTTCACCATCGTCTTTATACAAAGGTAGGGCAATATGACTAAAAAAAACTGGAGGTTTCTTTAAGTAACTTTAAGTCTAATGATGTAGCTTTAAATATACATTCATAATTGACTGTCAAAATGTGTTTATTTTTATTATTGTAAAAATGCAGCAGTAATACACAATTTAAGGGCAAAAAGATACAGATATATCTTTATATTGATGCCACAATCATATAATTTTTTACATTTTTTGACAGAAAACTATGTGCAGATCACGGCGATCTTCATGCGCCCCACTGATTGACATTTAAGGTAAAATAGGGGATGATCC